GCCATATGTATTTGAATTGGGCGTGACTTTATTGAGTTGGAGGTGATATATGCTAAGTGTGGGGGAGGTGTATCCGGGGCTCGTGAGTATATATTGAACATTTGGAGAAATTTGGCAATTGCTTTTTGGTATTCGGTTGTGCTTTAGGTCATGCCATGGCGAGTATAATCGGGGGTTCGTGGCCCGAATTTTGAGCTTTCATGCATACATGTGTCTTCGTTGAGTTTGTGGATTCCCGGTTATTATCTCTCCGAGACGCATACATGTGGCCTTTACTCGAAGCCGACGGACGGGATTCTTTTATGCTCTCAAATGTAATAGTGCCCAGTTGGCTCATGGTCGATACGCTTTGATTGTCCAATCATTCGGATGGCTTTATTTTCACCTTTATGGCTTTCGGATGATTTGCTCTATTCCCACCGGACGAACACCATTAGACACACGGTGGTGCACCACCGTGTAGAGTACGCGCTTTCGTTTCCCTTCGTTATTTTCTTTTTCTCTTTATTTTTATGTGCTATGTGTTTCTTTTCATTTTCTCGTTTGTATATGTTTTATTTTATTTTGTCGACCGCATGAGCTTGTGTGTCAACGTGCTCTTTCCTATGCTTTTTTGGGTCAAGCAATGAGGACATCGCTTTGTTTTAAGTGTGGGGGAGGGATTTTCGTGATTATGCATGCTTAGGCGTCATTTCTCTTATTTTCAGTGCTTATTTTTTTTTTCATTTTTGTTGAGTCGTGGACCGGTTTTGTTTGTTTTTATTGTGTTTTGTGTCGATTTCCATATATGAGACTTGATGTGAGTCCAATAGTGCAAATGAGTAAGTGGCTAGTTTGGATTGTTAATCGTTTTCATTATTAACTCTCATGCCTTATGTGCTCAATGATTTTGACGGTTTTCATAAAATGAGATGATTATCTGTTGGCATTGGAACTCGCATGTGGATTCACGGAGCTTTCTTGTCCTTTGTTCGTTCTTGATTGATGATCTTGGTCATGCTTACCTTGTGCTTGATTATGTGTAAATGTGTTATGCTATACACTTGAGTTATGTCTTTATTGGATTGTTATGACTATGATATTGTGTGATGTACTCTTGTGCGCCTTTCCTTATAAAAAAAAAAGAGAAATAAAATGTGAGTTCGCGAAGAAGTACGGATTAGGCTCCTCTTATTCCGAGCCACTTCAGGGATTGGGATAATGAGCCCGGGAAACCGGTTTAGGAAACTCGAGGAAACCCCTCGAGGTAAACCTAGATCATCTCGTCCGGAAACTTCGTTTGGAAAGAGAAGCTCACAAAAATGAGTTCGTGAGAGTCGAAAGGATTAGGCTCCTCTTGGCTCGGTTAGTCTTCTAGATAAACTGGGTTAAGGAGTACGGGAAACCGGCCTAGGAAACTCGAGGATAACTCCCGAGGATAAACCTAGGTAATAATTGTCCTAACGGCTCTCATTTGGAAGAAGTAACTCATATAAAAAAAAGAAAAAAAAAATGGGGAATTGGTTCATGGTCTCGTTTTTATCATCTTGTACATTGAGTTGATCATTTTTAGTTTTTGCACGTGTTAGTTGTAAAAAAGGAGCTTGACTTGAGTGAATCATGATTGAATAACTTGGGCTTGTTTTTGTTTTGTTGAGTTCATATGTGGGAACCGTACCCTCGAATTTGAGTTGAGGTTTGTGAATAATCGAATGATAATAAGAGTTACATGATGCATGTTTGTTAATCTTGGACCGTTCGATTTCTCCTTTCGAACTACTTGTTATTTTGTTTGCTTGAGGACAAGCAAAGAGTTAAGTGTGGTGGAGTTGTTTATTGTGTTTTTGTCGTTATTTTCGTGTGTTTTGTGTGTTTTATTTTATAGTTTTAGGCTCGTTTTTTGTGTCGACCAATCCATTTTATCGTGTTTTGTGTATTTTTGTTATTGTATAGTGTTTTCATATTTTTGCGTGTTTTCTCTTTTGTTTTTGGTGTTGAATAGGTCCAATGTGTCGAGAACGAGGAGACGAGCCGTCCGAGCCGACCGAGCCGTCCAACCCGAAAAATCTGAACAAGCCATACTGGGACAAAGAGAATTCAATGATGAGAATTTTGGTCCAAATTTCGTGTGAATTGGAGTTGTGTGCGAAACGTTAGAGCAAATCGAGCATCAAGAGGTCACCAGGACCATTCCTACGCACGCGCCCATGCCCGCGAGCTCGAGGACAAATCCGCGACGTCGAGAGTGCCATTCACTCCTTGCCCGCGAGCTCACCGCAACTTCCGCGAGGTCGAGAGTGCTCTCTACTCCAAGCCCGCGAGCTCGCCGCAACTTCCGCGAGGTCGAGAGTGTGCCCTGCTGCGCGCCAGCACGCCCGCACGCCCGCGCGCTTCCGTGCTGCCATCGACCGCGAGCTCGCGGATTTCCCGGCGAGCTCGAGAGTGCCGCGCTTTCCATGTCCGTGCTGTTGTTGCTCGCGTGCTCGCGAAAATGGTGGAGAGCTCGGGAGTGTGTTATTAAATGTATGTGTTTTTAGTGTGTATTTGTGGTGTAGCTATATAAAGACATTATGCTTTGTATTTTCGGGAGACAACCCTCATTTTCCAACTTTTAAGTTGGGAATTCCTCTCCATTTTTTTTTTCCTTTTTTATATTTTGGTTTGGAGCTTATGAATCAAGTTTTCCGGCGAACTTCCAGCGACATTGTTTCGAGTAAAGTTTCGAGCTTTTGACTCCGTTTCTTCTTCCAAGTGCGTGTAAGAGTGGGTACTTAGTTTTAAGCCTCATTACTTTGTATATCTTTGTTTGCTTTCGTGAAAATTGATATTGTGCTTGTGTTGGTTGGAGGAAAAGATCAAATCTTTAGATCGTGAATGCTTGACTAAGTGTGACTAGGAGTTAAATGCTTGCTCGTTTGTGCTAGAGTTTGGTTTAGCTACCTAGGGTTTTAGCTAGCATGGCAATGTTCGGTTATTTGTGTGTGTTTGATCATGGAGACTCCGGCGAACCAAAATCTCTTTTTCCCTCTTAAATTCTCTCATCTCTTAGCGTGCTTTAATTGGTTTCAACGCTCTCAATTTCGTAGATTAGTTTAGCTTAAATCAATCCCTTTCAAGCGAGTAGAATTTGTAGGACCTTCTTTTCGGTTGTGTGACTTTGACGACTAGGTAGTGAACAAAGCTCCGAAGAGCCTTCCTTTGAGAACGACCCGAGTCGGGTAGCTCGGTTACCACATGCCCAAAAATATTACAAACAGTCAACCCGTGTGTCTTCGATTCAGTTAGGCGGTCTCCTGCAATTTCTGGGTCAGGATTTTGGGCTGCGACCCTGCCATTGTTGTGCTCGGTGTGGCTTTCTGCTGTGGGAAGGGCTTCGTTGTTGCTTTGTATTGTCTAGTTTTGTTTTGTTTAGGATGTGTTTTTTCTGTGCTGTAGTTTCGTTTTATTTTGTTGTTTTGTATTTTTGGTTTGGGTCGTTTGGTCTCTGTGGACCCGAGTGTCACTTTGTGCGTCCGAGTGTCGTTTTATTCCCCTGTTGGGGTTCGACACTCGGGTATTACCCTGTTGAGGTCTTGTAGTTGGTTTAGTGTTTTGTGTTGTTGGTTAGTTTAGTAGTGTGTGTTTTTTTATTCTAGCGTTGCTAGCCGATATTCTAGGCGGTCTTTGACCAGTCCTCCCCTTTTTCAGCTGTTGGCTGCTGTGTTTTCAGCCGTTGGCTGCTGTATATTCGCACTTTTGTGCCTTTTAATTTATAATATCTTATATCGTTGGAAAAAAAAATATGCACGATAAAATTATAAATATCATTACAAAATAAAAATTGAAAATCAATTATGGAAATTTTATGTCATGATAAAATCTTATTTAGCAACATTAATAACACATCACGGTGATTTCCTATTCATACCAAAATATTTTTTATCGTATTTTCAGAAAAAGCATTTACTTAGGAAGATTAGCTTAGAATCATTTGATTTATCGATATCTCAATCATTTCAGTTTATCAAAAATTATAAACCCCAAAATTCAAAATATCAAAAGAAATTTAACTACTTATCTATCTTTAATAACAAACCAAACTTTATACTTAATAACAAATCATGCGTTCTTTTATTTTGTTGGGCACTCAGCCATATGTAGATCGAAATATGCATGATAACATTGCAAAATAAAAGTGCAAAATAAATTTAGAAAATACTATAATAGACTTAATATCTCAATACTAATAACAAATCTCTACGTTTTTTTTTATTTATTTATTTCTTAATATTTGTGCACTTTTATATATTATTTCTATCGTTCCCAAAAAAAAAGAGTTGTAAAGTATCATTTGATTTATCAATAACTGCACCAAACAATTTTTTTGTTAAATCATATTGCGATTCACAATATCATAACAAATCTCATATAAATTGATAGATTAGAAAGAAAAATTAATAGTTATAATATTAAAAATTATAATAAAAAATAACATTGATGCAATTAAAAGTTATTTTTTTATTTCAAAATAATATATATTATAATCTTTTTCAGTTAAATGTTGGTTATAATATTTGTCATAATTTTTCAACTTTAGTCTAACTTACTCAGCAATTGAAATAATATATTGTAACAAGGTATGTGTAAGAGAGAAAGAGAGAGAGAGAGAGAGAGAGAGAGAGAGAGAGAGAGAGAGAGAGAGAGAGAGAGAGAGAGAGAGAGAAGTATTCTGTGAGCATTATTTATTGATAATATTTGAATATGTTAATTTTTTATTATCCATAATATTAAATAAGGTCTAAAATGACAACTATTTTATAACGAGTGAAATAAACATATAAATTATATAACAAATTATTATAAATCATAAAAAAAATTAAAAAAAATATTTATATTCAAAACTATTTTTATGCTAATTAAATATTTCTCCATTTCTTCAATACCCGCAATTTATAATTATTGTTCCGTGCATCGCATGAGTTACGTACTAGTTACTTTGGAAAGAAAGTTGCAAAAATCATACAGTACATTACTAATTGACCTCAACGTGCGTACTCGTCTTCTTCTTCTTCCTCCATTGTATCACACAATGTCTTCCCGTTAGTTTCAGGCACCAGGACAACAAACAATACGGTCAACGATAAGGTTAACCCAAACACTGCATAGCACAAGAGCCCATTTACCCTTCTTCCGACCGCCACAAGCATCGGGCCCAAAAACCCACCGAGCAAGCCAGCCACCCTCACCATCGACACTGCCGAGTTTCTAACGCACGTCGGGAACAATTCCGACACGTAGATCATGAAAACATCAAACGCCATGCACATACTAAAAAAAAACACCAATTCCAACCCTATCTGAATCTCGTTCAACCGCGCAAAAATCCCCACCAATCCACACACCCCGCTAAATAAAGACAACCCGACCAACCAATTTTTCCTCTTCAACTTCTCTATCACGAAAACCATGATCCACGCGGCTAACAACTCGACCAACGCATTTAAGGCGACACTCACGTAGAGGTTGAATGGCAAGCCATCGAGGCCCAATGGGCTTCCATAGTAGGCCATGCCGTTGCCAAACCCCACAATCATCAAGACTAGTAAACGCTTTAAGGCCCAATTTTTACTAACTAACATCTTCAACGCAGAAGAAAAGGTATTACTACTACTACTATTGCCTTCCGTTACTTTTTCCGTCCACTCCACACTGGGCGAAATGCTGCTTCTGCATCTCGTCAAGTGTGTTATAGTTTTGGTAAATTCTTCTCTTTTCCCCTTGATGAAAAGCCATCTCGGAGACTCGTACGCGAAAACACACACTAGCAAAGAGTAAAAAATGCACGGACAAGTCGTGTAGAAATAAATCAACCTCCAGGACGACCACCTCAGTAGAAAAGCTACGAGCGGGAGAGACATGAAGCCCAACGTGAAACACGAAAAACCCATTATCCCAATTTTGCCCCTCCACTTTTTCCCCACGAGTTCGCTTGCGAGGACGAACGCGCTCGTCCCTATCGTGGACCGTCCGAACCCGCTCAGGAATCGAAATCCGGCGTACATCCAAATATTCGTAGAAATTGCAGTCAGTCCCCCGGATACGGACATGATCAAGGAAGAGAGGATCAACGTGTTTTTGCGGCCCATGTTTGAGTCCGCCAGAGTTGCGAGCACAAGTCCGCCAACAAGGCAGCCCAACAGAAAGGATGAGGAAGGCAAGCCTCTGATGAAGGGGCTAGCGCATTGGAGGGACCACTCGGATACAATGGACGCGTGCACCGGAGAATCCCAGGATAGTGAAGATGAGTTCCTCGGAAGCTTGCACAACAAGTCAACATTAGTAATTTTTTCGCATGGGAAGCTACTATTATTGTTGCAGCTCCATTTAGGCTCCTTATCGGTGAAAACAGCGATAAAAGTTTGTTGCGCGTCAAAAAACCACGCAAACGAGACTAAGATGGTTTGGAGAAACTGTCTCGACCCGAAACCACCCAAATATTGCTCGATCGTGTCGTCTAGAGAACGGGGCTTGTGGTGAACGTGCACCAGCTCAGGCGGGGGTTGATTTCGTTCTGGAGACATTAGCTAATATACTGTGTCTTTGGTATATGTATGTGTATGTGATTGCTGGTTTGGAAAATTTGTACTGAATGTGAATATATATATATATATATATATATAACAGTCGGTTCCCTTTTTTCAAACACACATGCTATTTTACAGTCGATTGGATTATTTCAAACACATGCTATTTGATGAGATTAACACTACACATACAATGATTTCTTTGACCACTATTTGGGAGGATCAGTCCACTTTTCTAAATAATACTTGTAAAACTGGGATTAAACAGTATTTTGATGTTTATTTCCTCGTGTCATTATACTCATAATTAACTAAATAATATTACTATTGTTTTGCAAATAGAATTTGATCGGAAAGTCCAACAACGTGGACTTGGAACCGATTTATTGACCGGTCAAATGATTTCTTGATTAAAACGTTTGCTAGCGAACCGATCAAGTCAGACTGCAGGTAGGATATTCGGCACAATTTTTTAAATAAATTTTGTTACATTAAAAATTATTTCTAATATTAATTAAAATACATACTTAAATAAATCAAGATTTATACTTTATTTATCGATTATCTTGATCATTAGAAAATTTAAATAGTCCATATATTTAATTAATATTTTATATAAATTTATTATAAAAACTACTATATATATACATATAAGTACTAATAAATTAATTCTGGTCCAATCAATAAATCATTGAAATATAATTTGATGGTTTGATGACGGTCCGGTTATGAGAACCTTGAATTTACCGTGCATTATGAATTTGTAATACAATATGATGTTCGAATAAATATTGAGAAATGATATACAAATATTCATATATCATTGAATATGTCGCTACATTACATATATCGTAATAAAGTATTTTTAATATTAAAATTTATATTTAGTTTCAATATCCGATTTTGTCTGGCCAAACTAACTCAACCACAATTGTGTCATGGCTTTGAATTATTCTAAATATCACCTAAAAGTACTTCCATCTACCTAGACAATAACATAATTCAATCATCTGTTTGATCTTTTCCTTAAATATATTTAAGTGTATGAAACAAAAAAAAAAAAAAAATATGATTAATTCATGTAGTAAATATTTATTACATATGACATTATATTAAGAATATAAATTATATTTCTAAATATAAATTAATTATTTCTTACCTTATGCATATTTATCAAAAAAAAATATAATATTTTTAAAATTTTAAAATTAATAAATTGGTTATGCAACTAACACGAGTCACATATAAGAATGAGTTATTACATAGAAATTGCATATAAATTAATATTTTTTAGTATGCTATTTATAAGTTATTTTGTATCATAAGTGGATGGTGTTACAAAGAAGAAAGTGCTTTAAGAAAAATTATATTGTCATTATATATATAAACTAAAATATTATTATTATAAATTATTTTATTCAAATATATTGTCAAATAATTATTTATAACTCAATTTTAGTAATCTTGCCTAATTCCTTATAATTATAACAAAAAAAAAAAAAAATTCTTATGCTTTTAAAGAAACATTATTTCCAAGAAAATATACAATGCTAAAAAAGAAAAAGGTGAAAAATAAAAAATTCTATAGAATTTTCTGTCTTAGTAACCGGTGTTTTAAAACACCTATAGCGTAATGCGTCGTGTTTTGGTCTTTATACTATGTAGCATAAATAGCGTTGCGTGTTGCATAAGCTTTTCTTTTTTGTGAACGATAGAAGTACTATAGATAAGCGCACAAATGTGCGAAAATACAAACTTGGAAGCTAGACCGAGGTCCGCCTAGAATCGCTAGCAAGGCTAGAAAGAAAACGACTCAAACACCAACACAAGAACCAACGACACTGACAAAATAAAACAACCCCAGCAAGGTGATGTGGAACGACCCCAAACGAGGTAATGTGGAACGGCCCCAAACGAGGAAACACCCGTACGCAGACGGGCTCACAGGGGCCAACGGCCCAGACAAAAAACACAATCCTAAACCACACAAGCACAAGCACAAACACAGAAAAACAACAAAATTAAAACTTAATCGATAACACACAAAGCCCTTCCCCGAGATGACCAAACCCATCAGCAGCGGCGAAATAGGACCAATCACCCCATAGCTTGTCCGGAAAGCCGGAACACCACTCCCGCCATTGCCTAAAGCCTAGCAAGGAACGAGTCCAAGCCTCGAAACACTCTAAGGATGAAGGCGACCCATAGCCCGAAGAGGATCAAACAGCCACCCCACACAGACCCTCTCCCCGAGACCCGACCAAATACCGCTGGACAAGTACCGGCCTGTTGGGCATCCAACTTCACAGGCAAAGCGGACACAGGGCACAAGTCGATCCACCTCAACCCCGGCCGACGCGTCACAGACGAACCGAGCCAAGGGTCGCACCCAACCCCAACCACATACACTCACCTCCTTGAAGCAACTCACCACGATCCAGGCGCACAGCGGACGAGATCCAACCGAGGACCGAGCAGAGATGGAGCCAGCCGACGACCAACCAACATAGCTGCTACTCGGAGAACCAGCAGAAGGAACCATCACCGGCGAGATGGAGACGGCGAGACTTGCCAACGGATTGGGAGAAGATCCATCAGCGCAGAAGCACTGGCGAGAGAGAAATTGGGGCGGGAATACGCGGCTACAGATCATCCGCCGGCGAAAAGGCCGGCTAATCGCCGGGGAAGGCACACGATGGACGCGAATTAACGAGCAGAGGCGAGGGTTTATGGAGAGAGAAAGGGGATCTTGTATTTTAAAAAATACAAGTATATATTTGCTTTTATAAAATGGATGGTTGATTTCAAAAATTAACATAGTATTTGAATGACTTCAAAAATAACATATAAGGATTAATGAGTCATTTATTTAATTAAAAAAAAAGAAAAATTTGTGCCAAAAAATAAAAGAAAAAAAATTGATGTGGACAAGAATCAAACGGACGGATTTCGGAAATCCGTTTTTTCTTAAAAAACGGATTTTCAAAATCCGTTTTTTTTTTTTTTTTTTTTTTTTTTTTT